GGGCCAAAAACTAGATTCTCAGTTAAGTCCATAGCTTTTAGTAACTAGAAGAGTTATGAATTTAAGTTCCCAGACTCATCTTGTAAAGATGCTGTGTAGGTTTCTTTTGGGGCTGGGGACTGAGAGGTCAGATATGGATTATTTTGTAAAAAGTGTTCACCCCCCTGGATGATGGGATATCTTTGTTTTAATATCACTTTTCTGTGTGAGTTAATTTAAGAGGGCAGTAATTGTCCAGTTTCATGCACATTGTTTCTGTATAAAAAGGTATTTCCCAGAGTTGTTGACTCGAGTTCCTAGGTGACTCAACTTGAGACTCAACTCGGGTTCATTGTTTGTGACTTGAGACTTGACTTGAGACATGCTAATTTTGTTAAATCGACTTGGTGAAAAAATTGTCCAAAAATGCTGATATTGATGGCTTATACAAAAGTGACTTGACATTTTTTAAATTAAGACTTGGGACTTGACTCGAAGTGACTTTAGGGACTCGAGACTCAACTTGAGACTTGAACTGTAGTGACTTGAGACTTGACTTGGACTTGACAACAATGACTTGAAGACAACACTGGTATTTCCTCACCTTTCTTGATTCTCATAGTAAAGTTTATATAAAGTTACTGCCATAGTTTAGCTCCAGAAGGAAGTGCAATAGTTCTGCAATGTAATATAGTGGTAGCAGAGAGCTTTGAAACCTTCAGCTCAGTAGTTTTATCTTAAAACTGATGCAGGCATGAATCTTACTCAGGCGTTGTTGTGTAACAAGTCCTAATATTTAGGGTGCATTTAGAAGCTTCTGTTGACACAGTAAATGCTGAGTTCCAAAATGAAGATAAATAGAACTTTGATGCACTTTTATTAATTATATTAGTTCCTTTTTCTCAAAAAGCAATAACTGATGGAAACAAGTGAAATAACTCAGTGCATTTAGGATTCAACAGAAGTTATGAACTTGAGGGACAATTAGTGAGGTTCTGTGCAGGGGTGAGACTCCCAGTGATCTCTTTGTGTCTTAAAATATATGTGCCCATCTATTAACTTCTCCTCCCTCAAATTGTCTAAACAAAGAGTTTTACTATAACAAAGAGTTTTACTAGTACATTTTTCCTGTTCTTTCACTGTGGATGTGATGCAAGCTACTTCTATCTCTTGAAAATGCAAAGGACATTGGCAATTGGGAAGATATCAAGAAAACCATACTTTTTAATCCCAGCATATAGCTGCTGCAGTATGACTGTTATGCATTTTTCTTTACATTCTCTCTCAGTGAAGGCTATAGAAAAGGTCTGAAAGGTTTGATTTTTTTGTTTTCGTTTGGGTTTTTTTTGCAATTCTGCATGTTCACTGTGCTACATTCTCGGCAGTGTTTGACTGTAACTGTATGATGTATCTGTATTCTATTAGAGATATATGCAATACCACCATAGAACAGGTGGTAATGGAGCCCAAGATGAAACACAACAGAGATGGGGAAAGGTCAGTCTAGAAGAAGGCCTTTGGCTTTGGGACATCCCTATCCATCTGGAACATCAGTTTGTCTTTTGTTTTTTTAAGCATAAAGGAAGACATGTCCTCTCTTGATAAAAGTAATCGACAAAATGATTGAATGAGATTTCCTTTCCTTAAATGTATTTTTCTCTTGTGATGATCCTTAAAATGGCCTAACATAGTGGGGGGGGAGGGGGAGGGAGCTAAGTTGTTCCAGGTTCAGATCATGATGTCCCTGCTATTATTAGTTGTTCTACTGGCACCAGGATTTCATGATATTTTATGAACTCATGGGTATACTAGAAATAGAACGTAAATGGAAAAGCAACCAGTTTGTGGGTAGAAAGCAGCACAGCATACAACAGAAGGGAGAGAAAAACGTTGGCCAAGAACATTATGGAATTTGCTGTTTTGAGGCCGGTATTCTGATGAAAGTTTTGATTTTTAAAATGATTTACAGGTTGCTGAAAGGATTAAAAAATGTGTCACATTCATATCCCATATGGACACTCTGACAAAGAATTTCACAGAAAATAATAGCATTTTAATAGTGGTTTGGAAACTATTGTTTGGGGGCTGCTTAAAAGCTTATAAATTGGTATAGATACTTTAAAAGTAATATGAGAAAATATTGATTATTTGGAAAGAGAAATTAAATAAAAATATCTGAGGTAAGCCCTACATTGAGTCAAGAATAAAAGTGAGTTAAATTTGACTAGGTTCAAGAGGCTTTAAATAAGGATGGCTGACTTCAGGCTGTTGAATAGGTCTAGATTAGGAAATTTATAATCTCCAAAGTCTAATATCACAAATCCTGAATTGTGGAAGTTGAAATCATCCCTTGATGGTGTAGCGTACATCATGGGTTTTTCTGGTGTGAGTTAAAGTTCAGTTTTTTATGAGTTTGGTAGTAACACAATAGTTTTGTAACTTAAATATTGGTTAATAGGAAATCATACAAATTACCATAATTCAATATTAACTGAACATGGTAAGATGTATTTTTTGTGCCATACAGAATATAAGGTTATAAAAGCCATTTCAAATTTCTAAGTAGTAAAGTAAAAAAATCTGTACAGTATTTTCAAACTTAATTTGATATTAAAATAAAATTCTAAGGAGATGGAAGTTATAGGTCCAATGTACTCAAATATTTAAGATTTCTCTGAGGCAATAATACCTTGTGTGCTTCTCATTCCAAAAATGCATTAGATTAAATCCTGTCCATCTTGAAGTTAATGGGAGTTTTGCCATCAATTTCACTCATTTGAAATATCTGTTTTGGTGCAAACAGAATTGGAAATCACCATATTCAATAACTTACCAAAAATATGAGAGCTTGTGTTTTCGGTCAGTGTTGAACAGTGTGCAAAACAAAATACTGTTTTGCTCTCTTCATATTTGTTACGTCAGTGGACTTGTTTGTCTGAACTTTACCATACTTATGCTTACAATGACATATTATCAAAATATCAAGGAGGAGCAAATGAAGACAGACTGTGAAGTCCAAAATAATATATTCTGTGTATGCTGTCTGAATTTGTCTGTTATATCAGTGAGATGAATTATGTGGTTAAAATATAAAGACCCATTACCACCAAAAAAAAAAAAAAAAAAAGTCACATTCTGATGTTTTCGGGCAGTTATTTGGAGGGTTTTTTTTTTTGTATGACAATCTTTTTTGTAGCTTTTCATTTTGCACTGTTCTGTCGTATTCTATTGTTCAGAATAGTGACAACATAAAAATGCCCATTTCCTAATTTGTTTGCCGTGTATATTCTGAGTCCTATCTGCCAAGGTAGGGGACTTTGTAAGTCTAGCAATTAAAATACAAATCTAATGCAGCATTATTAGTGGAAGAAATCCATAGTCTATTCTGCCATTCCTTGGCCTCAGTGAGATTTTGCACAGTACAGGGAATGCTAGTTTGGGTCTGCTATATGGTTGGACCATAAACATTGAACCCTTTAATGATGTCCTAAAGATAATTGTTTTTGAAGCGTATGGTCACACTTTAATTCTGATTAATGTTTGTGTATGTGTTACATGTTGTGAATAGACTGAATACAGAAAATAATACCCTAGCTGAAACCATGGCCTCATTGAAGTTAGTGGAGTTTTGCCTTTATTCATTTCCTTTATTCTTGTGTCTGTCTCTTTGGTTGGCCCTTCTGGGCAAATGAAAATACAGCTCAGTGAGACTCACTGAGGATTTGTTTACAGTACATAGCTTTTAGTGACACAGCTTTTGTCTGCACTTTTGCTCACAAAACCTTCCACTCCCAGGTGCAGTTATAGTGGTATTAAAAGGTTTTACCAAAAATGAGAATCAGGGCTCAGTAAAAATTTCACTCCTTCACAGTGTAAATATCTGAATCATCAGTCTTTGGAAGCAACCCTATAGGTCAGAACCCAGAGTAGGAAGCTTTGTGTTGTACTTTAATACTGTCCTGAGCTCATGAATAGCACATAACGAGTATGTAGTAAAATGTTATAGAGCATTAGTCTGATCACACCTCATCTTAACCACTTCTCTTTCTCCCTCTTACTGTTTATTTCACCTTATTTATGTTTGTCCCCTTTAAATTCCTTGTTCAATTAGAATAAGAAGAAATGTGAGGCCACAGTTCGCTCTTGAGCAGTTGTTCACAACTCCTCCTGGTTAAGCTTGGAATCTTGTGATCAGATGTGGCTTCAGAGATTTTATCTACCACATAGAACCCTATGGGACAGTAGCAGATCTGATTGCAGATTTGAGTCCTTACATTCTTGGACATTTTAGGGCAAAAGTTGGCATATTTCAGTGTTAAACATGAAAAAGTGCTGGTACTCAGATTGTGTTCACTTTGAGGTCACCATTTAGGGAATATAATTTAACCAATATCAGCGCAATCAAAATCCTTTGGAAATACGGGATTTTGGTCAAGAAGGAAAGCATTATATGATAAAACCACTCTCGATTATATGGCAAGCTTTTCATTAAACTATGAGTTGTATAGTGTGCTTGCTAGAACTAGATTTTTTTCCCTGCTGACCCATATGTTATAAAAATGTACCTTTATTACTGTTCAATTGATTCAGGCTATATGGAAAAAAATGATGATAGAGCTCACTGTTTAATAACCTGCTCTACTAGACCTAGTGACATAACACTTTGAGTTCCAAATCAGTAGATATAAAAGCATAGCAAATGATCCTGGAATTCCTTCATTGATGAATGATAGTAAGTTGTTATAGTAAGTTTTATTAGTTTTATGATAAGTATAACTATGGACAATTATCTGCTTTGAAACTAGCTCTCTCCTTACCGCCTAGTCTTTTCTGTTGAACAGAGGAATTTGAAAACACACTCCAATAAGCAACAGAAATATAAGAGGGGAAGGGTTGTGTTATTTATGGAACAAAAATTCTCAGGACATAACCTAAAATGGGAAAAAGGTTCAATTTTATTCAGAATTGCTGAATGGGGAAAAATTACACCCCAAAGCTAATGGGTTTGCATTTTCTTTTAGGAGCGTCTCCTGATGAGTCTTTTGCCCAGGAACGTTGCCATGGAAATGAAGGAAGATTTCCTGAAGCCACCCGAAAGGATTTTTCACAAGATTTACATTCAAAGGCATGACAATGTTAGGTAGGATTGACACCAGCTCACGAAATAATGTAAAGTGGGGCAAACAGTGACGTGCAGTGACTTTGAGATCTTAGAGCACAAAAAAGTAATCACATTGAAGATGTGTTGTGTTCATTTGGGGGAGGTTGGAATAGCCTATGGAAACTGTGGATATGAATTTTGAGTTGATAAATAATTTAGAATAATAATGCTAGGAGGAAACCTAATAGTCTTCTGGTTCAGTCTCTTACAGTTGTGGTAGATACAAATATTTATTTTGCATGATAGTAACATGGAAACACACCTACAAACAAACAAATATTTTTTTGCTATAATAGCTTATTTATCTGGAAGGAAGTAAATGTCAGTGCAGTGCAACCATTTGTCATCTTAGGAAAATGCGTATCAGTCCCCATCACTTGAGCATTCAGCTTCACAGATGATTGATTGAGGACCTGTTTCTGTTAAGTAGCATGTTGTTCCAGGAGCACTCCCTCTGAAATCAATTGTTATTATGTCAGTCTTGCTATTCTTCTCAATCCCTCACCAACTGTACTCTTCTTGAATAACCTAGCCCTGCTAGTGCTCAGAAGCACTCAGCGTTCCATGCCAGAAAGTCATTTTCTTTTCTTACTACCACAAAACCCTGGTTAAATGATCCAATAGTTCAAATTCTTTATCTACTAACTGCGTTCTTAGGAGAAAGTTATATTATTAAAGCTGAAAACTTAAAAAAACTAACTCTGCTTTCCACCATTAATACTCTTTGTTTTCATTTGCCTCTAATATTCAGCTTGGACAAGGAAAACAAAGACATTTTTTCACTTAAATTTGCACTCAGTTTCTAGCCAATTTCACTTTGTTTGCATTTCACAAGCAGTGCTTTAGGGTTTGACTTTTCTCAGAAAATTATTTCCAAACACTTCTATTGAAAATTCCCAATAAAAACATGTAAAACTTGGGACAGGAGGTTACCATTTATTTCGTAAAAAAAAAACTTGGGACAGGAGGTTACCATTTATTTTACTACCAACTCTCATGATTTTAGTGCAGGTCTCATGGAAGATTTTTTTTGTTTAAACACCTCAGTTCCCAGAGTAACGTGATTACATGAGAATCTCATCTTTTTCAGTTTTCTAAAATACATTTCTAACTTTCAAAATTTCTGATAAAAGCTTGACCATGGGACCTAAGTGCCTCCTATAAACTCAGAAATCAAAAGGTAAGTAAGATTTAAGCCAGTCTCATTGGTTTTTCTGTCCTGGCTGATGATTTTTCCATCCTTAGGGTTAGTAATACTGCATTTACATTGATCTTGGATTTTGCAAAACCCAAGCTCAGAGTTTTGAAAATAGATGCCTGTCAGTGGGACTTGGGATTTTAAGACACTTTTTCACATTTTTGAAATTTCCTCCCTTGAATAAGAACTCCCTACTTTTAAAAACCAAGCCATTTTTTTGGTCACAATGGATTTAGAACTTAATTTTAAGTCCCTATTTAAAAAAAAAAATCTTTCCCCATCTTTGTTTCTCCTAGCTAATACTAAAATGATACTCTCCCCATCATTTTTGCAACTCATTATAGTTTTCTTGTGGCCTTCAAATAATGAAGTAATAAGGATGGGATCTAGGAGAATTGATTGAAGAAAACATCTTCTAAGCAAGATAGTTTGTCTCACGTTCCTATGCTGTGTGTATGACAGAGTCAAAGGAGACACTCTCTTCCTCAGACATATATCAGCAAATCCTTCTCCAGTAGAACCAGTCATGTTGGGTTCTGTAGTGAACCCTTTTTATCTTGTTCTTTTAAAGAACTGAGTTTTTCTATTTACAAGCATTCAGTTTATTTTCTGCAACAGTCTACCGAAGCTAAGTGGGTGACACTTGCAATCAGATTTATTGGCGCATAAGCTTTCATGGGCAAAGACCCACTTTGTCACAGGCATCTGACGAAGTGGGTCTCTGCCCACGAAAGCTTATGCTCCAATAAATCTGTTAGTCTATAAGGTGCCACAGGACTCCTCGTTTATGCAGATTCAGACTAACACGGCTACCCCTCTGACACTTGGAATCAGCGTCACTTGGATATTTTCAGTGCATTACCATGTCACATGGATTTTGTACAATCAGTGAAATCTTCCATGTTAAGGTAATTGCAGCCAGTTTGCTAAGAGATGGGCCTGCACTTCTTGGTTTGTGAAGATGAGCAAGAGAGTTTGGGGCTAATTATTGAGATCTTTAAAGGTTTCTCTTAGAGAAAGTGTAAAGAGTGTCAGAACAGGTCATCATCGGTAAATGAATTTGGGACCTCCAGTGCTTAAGAAATGCGAGCCTCTACCAGACTCATCATTTATAGAGCATTGACTAGAGAGGGGTGCATCTTACTCACTGAACAGTAAGTTATTAATATGTGATGCCAGCTACCAGTCTTTACCCTAATGTTTTCAGGGAAGCTTATTGAGAAAGTAAAGTGAGGACAGTACATGTTACATCTTGATCTCCTGTGTGTCCTCTGGTCTGGATTTGGCCACTTTTGTGGGGCAAGCTGGAAATGTTAACTAATGTGCTTCTTAGCTTATTACAAAATGCTTTCCCAGCATGTTTCTCAGTGAGTTTTGTCTCCCTGTATGCCCAGCAATTCACAGATGAATCTCTCCAGCTGTAAGTTATTTCCAGATTCCTTCTTAATACTGAAGGGGTTTATTCTCATGGCAGTTCAAAGCATTAAACTCCTCTGCGTGAAAGTCCTGTGTGTGGAATGGGGGCAAGATTAAAACTTTAAACTAATTTTGCTTTTTAACTTGATATTGCTCCAAAAACCTCAATGGGTCATATTTAAACCTTCATTAAAGAACAAGCTACAGTCTTTCTTAAGTCTGATAGCATTACATTCATAAGTTGCGACTGTAGTGACACCAGTAAATTCTGTACTCCCAGAAACTTGTGAGCACTTTGAAAACTTTAATAACTTTTTAGTAATTTTTTGAAATTTTCAGATGAGAAATTTTAAAAGCTTATTCAGAGGAATTTTTCATTTTGCTTTTAACTCGAGTCACATAAATAGCATTACTCTAGTGTAAGAAAGAGCAAATTTTGGCTCTTGATCATGCAATGCTGTGCTAACCGTTGGTGCTAAATAAATTACATTAGAATGTTATAATATTAGTATCAATTATGGTTTAAAGTGTTCTATGGTCCTTATTGGCACTGCATTTCTTCTCCTATAATTTATCTTTTTTATAATGTTTTCCTTTGAAGATGGCTTATTTTTGTCAGTATCATTGTAGTTATATTATTTGAATTTAAATAGTTAAATGAGTTCCCAAAATCTTGCTTATCACCATTGTTTTTCCCCATCATAATCACTGCCATAGCAGTGATAAGCTTTTCTTTCTGGATTTCTTATGCCTGAAGTACAAGACTATTGATAGCATGGTTTACAGTTAGAAAAACTCAGTATGTTAAGAACTGTTTTGTTTTGTTTTGTTTTTTACTTCTATCATGAAGTTGTTATAAACCATAAAGAGCAAAAACACTTTAGGTTGTGCTCTGTTTCCCACCAAAAGACAGGATAAATGAGACCCAAATTCACCACACACTTAGAAGCCAAATAATTGCACAAATAATTGTTATGGGAGGCTTCTCTGTGTATGTATTTATTATGTGTAGGTGGGGCAGGGGGGCATGGAGAAATCTTTCCAAGGCACAGTTTCATGATATCTAGGATGTGGACCAATGTAAATAAAGCATGATTTAAAAAAAAACCCATGGATCTTTAGAAGCTTTCCAGGGAAGAGATCAAATGGACTTTTCAATAGCTGATGGGAGTCAATACTGTGCAGGTTAAATCTGTACTCTTCTCAGTAGCTCTCTTTCCTCTTCCTATATTTTATGTGTAATAGGCTACATCTACACTGGGAAGGTTTGGAGGCAAAAGTGCTGTTATCATGCAAAAGTCACCAAAAATGAAAATTGGTCAGACGGGTTTTTCAGCCTCTCATTGTCAACATCTCATGGCCACATTGCTAGCACCCTGAGAACAGACAGAGAAAAGCAATGTGGGTTATTATCCCACAGTACAGTGTTGTGGGAAAGCAGAGCTGATCCCTGAGCTTCTTGGGATTCTCTCATAGCTCTATGAGCTCTCCGTGGTGAGGAATGTCAAAGCAGCACAGCAGTCTCTCTAACCCTTCCCTTGTAGCAGCAGTCTGCCTGCTGCTGTGTTCCTAAGAGGGCAGAACAGAAGCATTCCAATAATTTGCTCTTTGTTTGTTCCCCAAAGGGAGCAGCTCATTCAGTTGTCATATACTTCCCAGAACTTTGAAAGAGGGATGGGGGGGGGGAGGGGAGAGCACATGCCTGCAGGGCAGGAGAGATCATACAACACTGGTAAAGCCATCAGCACAGACATTGTGGGATATTGGCAAAAGCCAGTTCTCTCAACGTAAATCCATCAGCACAGACATTGTGGGATATTGGCAAAAGCCAGTTCTCTCAACAAAACAGAGTCCAGACTGGCTCTTTGTTGACAATAAAGGGAGGGGAAAAGACAAAAGTCTTTTCTAGGGCTGGAAGTTTTTTGTCACCAAAACAGGGTGTTTTTCCTAACAAAAGCTGCATTGCAGCATAAACATGCTCACTGTTATGTCACCAAAAGGCAGTTTTTCATGACAAAACATGCCAGTGTAGACAAGTCCTTAGTGGTTATCTTATGGGTGGACCCTGACCTCAGAGAGACAATTGTGTAAGTCATCAAGAAATCAACATGACTTCTTGCTTGCTTGTGTTTTGTATTTAATGGGACTGTTCTACGTAACAATAAGGACAAGTGCAAGTGTCATTGGTTACCAGAAAAAAGTACTTACTAGGATAAATACATGAAAGTGAAAAAGAAAGATATGGTTGCGTTTGTGTGTCTGACATGATCAACAAAGATGTGGAAAATGCATTAGAGATATGGTTGTGTTGAAAAGTTGACTCAGAGTGGCATAATGAGGGTGGCTAGGAGCCGAAGATCAGTCT